CCTCGTACATCAAAAGTGTCACGTCTTGCCCACTGGGAAGACTGCTCTGCAGTCTTCTGGCTGCAGTTCCAGGAAAGGCATTCACAGTCCTTTGTCAGCACCTAACTCAGAACGTCTTGCTGAAGGTGAAGCCATACCATTACTGAGGAAGGGAAGGGTTATCCCCCGCACTTCCCTTTGAGGCTTGGGAGTCATTCTTTCTTTGCATTGCCTGGGCTTCACGAAGAAGATGCAACAAGAGGACTGCCCCCATCCGATGCCAGACAACCTCTCTGATTTGCCAGGAATTTGAATTAAGAGAATGTATCTCGTATTATGAAGAAGAAAGCTGAGTCATGGACTCGATGTGTGTGGACACTTGTGGGTTCAGACAGGGATGGTCAACAAGCAGAAGGCTCTTCTCAGAAGAGGCCTGGAGTGGGGAACTCTCCCAGGTGCAGATCATTCCAATTAAGAGGGGTGTGGAAGACTCAAAGAGTGACATTAATGCAATGAAAATATAGACAGAATTCTGCTCAGTTGCTCAGTACGAAATGAACTTGCTCCCAGAATGTTCTCCTAGTCAGTGAAGGTGAAGGGTCTGAATATGCTCACAAGCACATGGCAACAGATATCTAGCACATCCTAGACCTCAACACAGATGTAATCTAGGACTATTCAATTATGAAATAAATTAATGAGATTTACTTCCTGGGTGAGTGAGTTTGCAGCCCAAATGACTTTAAATATCTCAGATTATGTGGAATTAGAGTTTTTTGTTTTTCAGTTTTGTACCATCTGGGGAAGGGTGGCCTGCTGTCCTACTTCATGAAGGACACTCCTCTATTTGAAAGATGGGCCATCCAGTCAAAGTTAGCTATAAAGATAATGGACAGTAAGAAGAGAGAGCAAGAAGGGCCTTGAAAATGCCCATTACCCGTCACTGACTAGGCAGGCACCCAGAGTTCTCGGTTACCATCTTCTCCACTGTGGTGAGCAATGCTGTATTTCTATTATAGTTACACATATAAGATATATATCACTATCTAGCCTGAGCTGAGCCATCCTCATATGTTGCTTGCAGGCTTTTTGCCTCACAGTTTTCTCTTCCTTGCCTCTGCCAGCATTGTTACCACCCTTGGTATCTCTGGCTGTGATATTCCTGCCATTAAATCCTTCAGCATCACAGGGAAACAAGGGCAGCTCTGAATGTTACATAAGATCTCCCTTTTGCTTATAGGTTAGAAGTGTTTTGATATCCTGCAGGACAGCTCTGCCTCCACGGTGGTTTTGGAAAGCAAAGTTTCTTTGCTTGCTCATGTTTCTCTTCAGAAAGGCAACAGAAGAATGATAAGAACTTGGGGAAAGCCACCTCACCCTGGGTGGAATAGAAATCCAAGGACTGGTTTCTGTAGCTGGTGTGGAAGAGCTGGTTGAGCAAGTGGTTCACATCTCCTTTGTTCTGGGCATGGTAGTGTTGTGAGGTCATGGCACAAACTGGTGACGGCCCAGCTGGCTAAGAGATGAAGGGTGGGGTGGCTGCGAACTGTTGAAGCAAGAGCAAAGGAACAAGGCCCAAAGCAGGAATTGGATCTCCCTGGGAAGTTTAAATAAAGTGGGCTGAACAGTATGGGGCACAGTCCATGGGATAAGAAGTACTTTTGTGGTCCAATAACTTACCAGTGTTGGATTCAAGATTATTTTAACTCCACACTGGAATCAACAGCCATTGGAAAAGGGATATTTTTTTTAAACGAAGAGATGTTATAAGGTTAGGGTTAATGAACACAGGGACAACATTTTAGATTTTATTAAGTGGGGCCAGGATTACTCAGCAAAAAAACAAGTAAAACCCAGAAGATTCTAAGAATCTTTCTTTGTGAGCCTCCTTTCCTCCCATCCTTTGTGAGCCAAAAGAGTTCTGCTTTTGTGCAAACTCCACACTAGGATTCACAGCATTAAGTGTTCCTCTGCTATATAAGAGGCACTTTATGCACTTAAATGGAGTGCCCGTATCAGGAAAAGGGGTTCAAATCCAAGGAAGGCTCTTCTTCATTTCCTTAGGTAGTTATCCAGTTCAGCGAACTGGTGTGAGTGCTGGACCTGGGAGATGAAGTTCACTGGGTGACTTTGGGCCAGACACTCACTCCTAGCCTAACCTACCTCACAGGGTTGCCATTGTTGTGAGGATAAAATGGAATGAGGCAAGCCACCTTGGGTTCCTCACCAGGGGAAAACAAGCAGGATAAAACTCTAATCTATTAATAATATTATGACCATTGTGGAGAGTTTTCTTCTCAGGGCAGCAGAACCAGAGTGACCTGAAGCCCCACATCTGGCCGTTCAAGATCCACAGAAAGGAAGAGGGGAAGGCAGCTGCTGACCGGTCTGCAGCCTGCCACTGCAGGTCCTTTCATACATCAGAACGGTAAAGCATTATTTACCTGTGAGATTTCTGCTGGCCATGTGCTGCCCCCTTCAGCAGAGGCACCATGCCTGCGTACATCAGTCGCTGAGGAGCTCGGGCAGGAGGAGGTCTGCTAACTATCGTGCTTGAGGGATCCTCTGCACAGCTGGTTAGCCACTCTCTGCACAGAGAGCTGCACCAAATGGCCCTTGGGTCTGATCCAACATGACTTTTTGGATGTTTTTATGTTCTCATAGGGGCCAACAGCAGTCTGGAAATTCTCATGAATTACACTTACAGGTACAGAATTCTGCTGAACCTCTTTCATTGTTCTGTTGATCACATTTTAATATTGAAGAGGCGAACTTGCAGAGAATAGATCATCCTGAGATATAACCACATGCACTCTGGAAAAAAGGATGGGGGCACAGATTCTGTTGGATCATGCCTTATGCTTTGCATTTAAGAACTTAGGATCAAAAGAAACTGAAAAATTGTATTCTTCGATTTCAGAATTTCCCTAGAGTGCAAGCAGATTCCTGAAGATTCTTGTCCTTTTCTTCCTTCCTTCTTTCCCCCTTTGCATTCTTCCAGACTCTACATATTTCAAATTCATTGTTTTCAATTTTATTGAAATACATGTTAATGGTGTTTTGATTACAAGTTTGTATTTGTATTTCATTCTTGCCCTGAGCACCATTTGTAGTAGGAGCACAGAACAGAAATGTAGTAAACAAACAGATAAATTAGCACCTGCCTCAACCGTGTCAGCTCCAGGTTTCACAGGATAAGACACCTGCAAGAGGCTCCCCTCTCTTGGACAGCCTGTTTCCTCTCACTGGCCTTATGCCAGCTGGTGGAGCCCCCTTCTCCATCCTTTCTGCCTGCTTGCCAAGCAGAGAGTCGGTCCCACTTCTATTCACCATGGCTGCCTGCTTGCTTGCTCTCTCTGGGCCAGAGCGGGAGGCAGGTAACCACGCAGGTTGCAATGCTCTTATCAGTTGACCTGAACAGGTGTGATTTCTTAGCAGATCCATAGCAGTCCTTGAAGCTAGCCCCATGTATTAGCAAGTGCTCATATTTCTGTTAATCGTATTATCAGGGTGGGCATATTTTTCACTTCTCATCAAAGCTGTTTACCCAAGATGGTCTGTGACAATCTCCACTCTGCTTGTTCACTTGGCAAGTCCATTCTTGGCACTTGGCTATACTTTTTAGGCAGAGTAAACGAGCAGCAGAGAAAGAGGAAGGAACTTCGAGGGGCAGATCTTCCTGCCAGCTCTTTTGAAGTAGTCTTTGCACCCCTTATGGAGAGGTGGGTTTCATGATGGTGGGATTTGGGTTAATTCCAGGACTTGTTACTATGTCACAGACCTTGCAGACTTATGGTGTTCCCTATGAACATATGAGACTTCTACCATTTTTTAAAACATCTTCGCTTTGCATCTTTAAAAGTGAGGAATAAGCTCATCTGCCCTGCACATTCAACAGATTTAATTAGCCATGGCACGGTATGCACACATTAGAGTTAATAGCAGTGTCAAAAGCAGGTATGATAAAGGATGGCTCTGATTCAATAATTAATTAGTCTCCCTGCAGTATTACAAAACTAAGAATTCCTCCTCCCTAATCATGTTATGATGAACAAATGAGCAGGGCTCTTTATTCTTTGAGCAAGTTGCTTTGGTTGCATCATAGAAATGTAGGTTGGTAGTGCATGCATTTGACACGTGGAGTGTTTGCAGCGTGGTTTGGACTCACGTGTGTGAACTGACACTTATGGGCATCCTATCTTAAGTGAACAGGTCCCCAACCACATGAAACATCCATCTCCCTTTTAATTCTTAGCAGTGTGTGTGTTCAGTGCAGAATGTACAGAAAGGTGATGCTGCCAAAAGAAAAAGAAAAAGCAAGCAGGTAGCTTGGTAGTCCAGTAGCACCCTGTCGATCCTGACAGCCACGCACCCATTCATTAGTCACCACTGCTTCCCAAAGGAAGCAGGAACAGCTTCTCAGCAGGGGCCTGGGCCACCCTGCAACAAATGGCAGACGGTAGAGAACAAAGTATCTCCTCTCTTTACCTTCTGCAGAGATGTTTTAAAACCCTGAGTTCTAATGGGATGGGGAGCTGTATGTAGATGGGACTAGAGATAACATTGGCCTACTTGCAATTTTTGAGCTGGCTACATGAACAGGAAGTGCATACAAGGCATAAAAAGGGATTAGACCCAAGAAGTGGACAAATGGAGCAAACTCATAATGCTGGGATAGGGAAGAAAGCGGTGGGTGTTTGGCTACAGAGCTCAGGATTAGATCATTATGGAAAGGGCTTGCGGAGACTGAGGAAGGGGTTTCTCTGGATTCTGCTGCAGTAGCTAAGCTGTGAGATGGTGCAGCAGAAGATTGGCCGTGGTGAAGGTGGCTAGATAAGGTGGCGCTGAACCATATTTTGCCCTCACATCTTGAAATTTCAGCTACACCTGCTTTAGAATCTTTGGAAAACCTTGAGCTCTGCTGATAGGAATGAATGCGGCTCAACTGTAGAGTTAGACCTCGCCATAGAGCATTGCGTTCACAAAGGCATGTTAGTAACAGCTGCTGAAATCTGCCATACCTGTACAGATGAAACTGGATAATCCTCCATAGATGACATCATCATTGTCTGGTAATATAAATGGACACCTTGTCTGAACCTCCAAACAGTATTGCTTGCAAGGAATTGTGTTGTTGCAGTGAGACTGTGTGACTTCAAAATACTGGGAACAGAGCCAGGCTTTGTAGACAGTCTAAGAGGAAGAAGTAGGGAAGGGGAGGAAAGAAGAGAAAAGAATCAGACATATAGACAAACCAATGCAACACTGTCAGGATTATCAATGTTACGACTTATAGAATAAAACTCTAAGAAACCGTCTCCGAAGTAAAGAAAGCATATTGCCATTCTTCCGTTCCCCCCAAAAATATCTTCCAAAAGTCCTTCTAATATCAGTCATTTTTCATCTATTTCCATTCCTTTGGCAGGAGAGATACAGATCCAGTTTGCATAGCCACCTGCGTGGTGAGCAAGCCACGGTGGTCCGATAACTATGATGCATGTGCCAGCCCCACAGTTTACCTTGTCACTGTGGCTTACCATGAAGTCTAAACCTGGTGAGGGTTAGCCACTGCCATGATTAGCCAACAACCTGCTGGTCTGTTAATCATAGCAGCAACGCACCCTTGCTGGGTCTGGAGGACACAGTAAGCTGCAGCGGCGAAGGTAATTAAACACATTTGGTTGGCATGTGACCAAAAATCACCACAACCTGTTCACTGCTTGGAGAACATGTGAACCAGCACTTAGTGTTATCTGCACCTCACTCGTCTGAGAAGAAGTTCCAGCGATGTAGCACTTGCTCAGGCTTGGAAGGTGGCTACTGTATTGGTGTTTGTTCACAATACACAGCTTAAACACTCCAAGAGAGAGCCAAAGGTCACTGATACTCCTTCAGATGTCCAAGATGAGCCCTAACATCCTAAGATGCTTATGGAACTCAGCTCCTCGAATCTTTCCACCTCTGTCTCTAACTTAGACCACAATCTGGTCTCTGGAGTTTTTTTCCCGCAGAAACCCAGATGACACCATTCCTAGCCATGGATGTGGAAGGGGGAGGTATCCCCCCTTTTGCATATTTCATATATATTCCGAAGGCCAGCTGTAATGAGCAGTCAGCCAATCTCCCCAAGAAAAGGCAACTGTTTGAACCCAGTTTTCAGTGGCTACAGAAACCTATTTCACAAGAGACGAAGCCCTGATTTGCATAACACAACAACCCCCTGTGGCTTAATTTACCCACAAGGGCTGTCTTATTATGCCAGCTGCCTGTAGACACTGTCTTTGCCCAGCTTGTTCTGTTATGTGCAGCTAGGTAGCAAGGGTTATTTGACAGTCAGATGACCCTCCAAGAATCCATGGTTTGTTGAAAAGAATCTGGGGGTTACCCAGCTCTCAGTCCTGCAGCTTGGCTATGCACAATAGGGCAGAAATGGCACTCACAGGCAACTGGCATCATACAGTGGCCTCTATAACGAACTTAAGACAAGTGGGCTGTTCCGTGGTGTCGCCTCTTTCTTTCGTTTTTTCCCCCTTCCATTAGCCAACTGGTTTCCTCTCTCTCGTTCTCTTTCACACTCTCCCCACCACCCAGAGATTGTGATGTCCTCTTTTACAAAGTTCAGTGACACTACTTCTCCCACTTAGCAGTGCTGTAAGCCAAGCTTAAATGGAAGAGTGTTGCGACCTGTCACTGGAAAATGAATGGCGTGAGAAGAAGATGCTGCAGTCGTGTCCTATCGGTAGCAGCACACGCAGGCAGAGGAAGCCTCTTCCTGCCCTTTCCTGCAGTCCTTGAACCAGGCATCAGGCCCTGCTGTTTAGGCAACTTTGGTTTCTGTCTGACTACAATTTTACGGTGCTGTGTATGTTTGTCCGTTGCAAAATGTATCCAAAATGACAAATCCAGCAGTGAGCCTGGAAATTATACATATGCTTCAACAGAGGGAGAAAAAAATACAAGAAAGAGCTTCTAGAGGTGATTGCCTGTTCCAGTTTTACTATGCAAAGTAAATCACAAATAGTCACAGAAGGTGGTGCTGGTTCCCTGCAACTAAAGATCAAATTGATGCTACAGCAGCTAAAATAAATGCTTTGATCACTTGGGAAACATGACATATGAATGAATTATTGTTGTTATTTGGACATTCAGCTCTCAAGACGGACCTGTCCAGAAACAGCTGTCTATAAAGAGTTTAGCATTTCATATAGAACCCATCAACACAATATTTCTGGCAATGTAGTTCAGTTGTATAGGGTTCTGTTCTTTTTCACAACAAGCTTGACTGCAATGATTTGCCCAATGTATGAGTCAATATTCGGACTTGTATTCATAAATAGTTTGGCTTCCATACATCCTTGAGACGGTCACATTTCTGATGGACCAGATAACATCATCTGCATCCCACTGTGTCTTACCAGCAAAGGGAGGTAGAGCGTGGTCTCAGTTACTTCTCACAACCATGAATACATCTATATATGGCCAGACAGATTTCTTTTGCCACATGTTCTGTCCTAGGTTTCTCTTTGACCTTCTGGTTTATGACATAGCCCTGCACTTTATGCAGAATATTCCACTGCTGGAGCTATCTGTTACACACCATAATCTGCCAAACACAAGGTTACATCCCAGCATCCTTCTTGGGAAATCAACATGAAACATTCCCTTCTTGGCAGTTTAGTAAATGTCAGCCAGAATATCCTCCAGAGGAGTGGTTTGCAACCTTTCCACAGCTGGGGGCCAGCAAAAACTGGAAAACCATCTCAGGGACCACTGAAGCAGATACAAAAAAAAGTCCCCCCCCCCCAGCCCCGCACCCATGAATGCGACGCCAACCGGAGAAGAGATGGCGGAGCACAGCCAGCCCCCACACTGGTCTGTGGCAAGGGGGATGAAGCCCCTCCACAGGCTGGCAGGAAATCTCTGGCGGACTACACCGATCCGCAGACCAGCGGTTGAAAACCACTGCTCCAAAGCACTCTAAGACTACTCTTAATCAGAACTGGAACATTGATTTGTAGCTTTCTTTTATCTGATGTGCAGTATATACTTTTTGTGATATGCTACTCTGAATTCATCTTTATTTTTTAAAAGTAGGATATAAGGTTTAAAATGAATACAATGAATGAATTTTCTAGCTGTGCCTAAGTTCAGAAGACGGCATCCTTTTTTGTGAACATAAAATGTAGCTATTTCATTTTTTTCAAGATTTTTCTAGCTATTTCAAAACACATCACCTGCAGGAATGGACAGGAAATGGGCAGGAAGCACATTTAAATAAAGAATCTAAGGAAAAATAATTACCTGCTACAATTTCTTAATAATATTATTCTTATCCAGGTTGCTGGATAATGGTCATTTAAGTATTTCTGAGAGGATTAGTAAGTACATTTCTTCCACCAACAATTGTAAAAAGCAATATAGAATAATTATTTTCCCTTTTTCCCCTCTATACCTGGCTTTCATCAAAAGCACAATGAGAATTTAAAGGAGGAGGAAAAAGAATAAAAACTGCAAATTCAACAGCTGGAAGCTTGAAAGGGGGTAATTTCCTAGAGAACTTGGTTCAATTTAAACCTATTTCATTTTATCTGTTCTAGTTTTAAGTTGTATCAGTAAAAGTTTAATTTCTATAATTATCCACAAAGCTGTTATCTTCAGTGTATTTGCAGTGGCAGCAGGTAGTGGCAAAGTTGCTAGGTGACCAGCTTATTTAAAAAAAGCCCATTATTGCTAATCTGTGGTTTATGATTACCACTTTCCGTTGGATTTCAGTCATTGTACTTTGAAGGGAAAAATATTCTCATTACAGATGCAGTATTAATTGCTTTAGAGAGCTTTCTTGTTGTTGTGTTTAATTATTTACAAGCTAGACGTCCATGTGAAACTTCTGTTTTGTTTTGGTTTGGTTTTGAAAAAAAAACCTTTTAAAAATGGTGCAGGCCTCCAAAACTGTTAACTCTGTAGTCTTTTGTGCTTTCAATGCTTTGGTTAATCTCATCTCTAATGCTTCCCTTGTTGGTAAAATATAAATATTGAATATATTAGTCCTGTTAAATATGACTTCACAGAAGCAAAGAAAGGAGCTCCTGGCTCCCAAGGACTTAACTGTTAATTGGAGAGCTGATGATTTTCCCAACCATAGACATGGACTGATACCTACCAACTCAAAGGAAAAGTCTGTTTTGCTGAATTGCTTTGCTGTTTTGCTGTTCCTTATTCAAAATGAGGAGTAATAAGTGCTGAGTAGATTTTTACGTATTAAGGATAAACTGGATTTCCTTAAACTGGCACCAGTGTGAGAATAAAAGAATTGCCTTGCTAGGTTAAACTATCCCGACTAACATTTTGTTCCCAGCAGTGACCACCCAGAAGTCTCTGGGACAAGAAAAAGCAGCCCAGGAGGACAAGCCAGGAACTTTGAACCAAGCCAGGATTCGGTGTCTAAAGGAACACTGTGTCCGTACCTGGAGGTTTGCTCAGCTGTCATGGCAGACAGCAGCTGAATATTCAACCTTCTGTGAGTAATGAAATGCAACTGGTCCTAGAGGTCTTCCTTTAAAAAAAGGAAAAAGGGGAATGGAAAGTGAGAGCGAGAGACAGAAGAAGGTGAAAGTGGAGACAAAAGAGATCTAAGTAAGAGTGGTATGAAGATGTGGATAAGTCAGTGTACAGAGAAGCACAGAAAGTCTTGCCAAATTGAAGTGAGGGTCCCAACCACAGAATGCCATCCTTTCCTTTGTACAAGGCTCCAGTGTATTCTTGCCCAGCCAGCCACAGTGGGAAGCTCGTAAGGTTTACAGTGCTGAAAAGCTCCTGGCAACTAACGCAGTTCATTGGATGCATTCAACTTGATCCTTGCGAAGGGCCAGTATATAACCAGGATTAAATTATTTGCTATAAAGGTCAATGGAGCAGATAATGACAAGCCCTGAATGATCAGCATAGCCCAGCATGGTGTACTTGAGAGCAATTTAGCCTTCTCAGCATTCTACTATTATAAAATAGTTCCTTAGGGTTTCAGCATGAAGACCCAAAGGATCCTTAGGTATTGACATGTGATTGGGATCAATCTAAGAGAGGTCCCACGTGCGGCAACAGCCACAAAGAGGGACCCCCACTGCATCTCATGGAGGGAGTTCTACACCCATGTGAGTGCAGGGACACCTTCAGACTGAAACCAGCTGCATGTCAAC